GGCCTAAGCTATATATATGTTTGTTAATATTGCAAATTAGGTTAGGAAAGAAAGATTAGGTGAAAGAATCGCAGCATTGCAGCAGTTGGTTTCTCCATACGGCAAGGTGATTTTTTGTTTTTTTTTTCACTCATTTCTCTATAATGATTGTCCATAATTTTACATAATGTTCTTCAAGTATATATAAGAACTTTATGTTTTTGTGAAGGTAAAGCAAAGACTTCTAATTCTATCACTAAAGAAACGAAAATTATAGTTTACAATATAATATTTTCTTTGGATTATTATATGTATATTTAGTTTTTCCAAAAGGAAAGCTTAAGAAGTCGCGATTTGGGGTAGTGTGGCAATAAATCAGCATCCAATGTAAAAAAAAAAAAATCAAAAAGACATCAAAGACAATGAAACTTGATCAATAAATTAAAAAGTATATTTGTTTTTCTTTTATTTTGGGTTAGATTAACGATCATCATTACAAATTTACATTAATGATATGTGTACCTTTTTGAGGGTAGTGAAAGAATATAACAAAACAACACTCTACCAAAAATATCCATAAATGATAATACTGTTTTGAAATAGTTAAATTTGACTTTTCTTCTTCCTGACTGATAAGTAAAATTAAATTAAAATTTGACAGACAGATGCAGCTTCTGTGTTGCATGAAGCGATGGGTTACATCAAATTCTTACATGATCAGATTCAAGTCCTTTCTTCTCCTTATCTAATCAACCACCACTCTCTTCTACTTGTAAGTTTTATCTTCTTTTAACTTTTTTATAATAATAATTACTAATGGTCAAAGTTCTGACTTGCCGGTGACATTTTGTCAGGACGGTGGAGCCGTGTCCGGAGATGATACGCCGGTGAAGAAAATGAGAGACTTGAGAAGCAGAGGACTATGTCTAGTACCTGTATCATCAACCTTACACGTGGAAAACACCAACGGTGCTGATTTCTGGTCACCTGCTGCTACTATGGGTCACATTACGTCACCGTCAGTGAATCAAGGACCCTATTAATTTACCGTCCTTCCTAGGACCCTATAAATAGCCTTTTAATATTATATAATTTAGATGGAAGAACACAAGTAAAAAAGTGCTTTACGAATTTTTTTCTTTCACCCATTTTTTGGTTTTTGTGTTTTTTGGGCTTATGATTTGGGTGGTATAAAAAGGTCGGATCTTTTTGGTTTATAAACATTAGATTCTAAGTGTTTTTTCTCAGTGTTTCTAATATCTTTCGATCGAGTAGTGGAAATGAGAGGCTAAGATTAATCAATAGTCAATAATCACACCACCAAACTACATCACTCAATTACGACGTGCAAAACGTTTTTTTTCTTTAAGTATTTGTTTAGATTTTCACAAACGGTAATTGAAAAAAGGTTACTAAACCAATTATATTGTAAAACTTCAAAGTTATTCCTGTAATTTAAGATTTTAAAGGTTGAATTCAAATGGGCTAAACGTTAAGTATTTTCTTTTGCCAATGTGTGTATAATTTATAGCCTTTTCTTGGGTATAAACACCTTCTTGGTTTGTTTTCTGAAGACGAAAATTAAATAAATTTAAAACTAATGTACATGTTTTAAAATTACTTACTACTAAGGGTTAGATTGTAAAATAGCCAGAGTTTGAGGATATATTGGAAATCAAAACACTTCCAATTACCACCAATAATCTCATTCTTACTTCGCCGGTAAAGCCGGAGATTGTTTTCTTCACTTTCTCTTCCTCTCCTTCTCCACTACTAAAATCTCACTGTCTCTCTCGTTCTCTCCGGTGGTCGCCGATGGCTGTCTTTTCAATCGGTTCTCACTTTGCGCCGCCGCACAAGTTGACGAAGAGACTCGCCGTCGCGACTTCATCATTCTCGACCCGATTGCCGCAAAATGTCTCCTTCTCGAAAGTATCTGGAGTTACAGAATCGAGGTTGTCTAGACATGGTGTTCTCGTGAGGGCTGAGGATAAGATAAGGGGC